CGATTCTCGTTTAGCACTGTGCTTGTTTCCTACCCTTCGCCCGCGTATACACCTATCAACAAAACATGAAGACGACTGCCAATTTTTTAATAGTCATAGCCAATTTTTTATTCATAATTCTTTTTTTATAATTAACAAAATACAAAAAATTACACGTTACAAGAGCTTCTCAAACAAGTCCTCACTCATTCTAAAATAATTGGAGTAATCGTCCAAATCATCGCCAAAGAGCATTTATTGCGTAATGTTTAAATGAGTATATTGATTTCGTTTTAAAATCCAGTCTTTCACCCAACGCTTTCTCTTACGTTTATTTTTCAACGCGCATGCGAGTACTATATATATATATATATATATATATATATATCCATGATTTATTGAATTTTTTTATACGGAACACCACTTCACTCTAGTAAATTCCACGGCATACTGATGAGTCATTTGTTTTCTATTTTTACCCCCGCCTAATACCTGCAAATTAGTGCAATGATAATTTAGTACATATATCGAAGAGAAATTATAGCCATTTTTCCGGACCGATAGGACTTAGGAATCCCCAAAAGCCTACTCCTTATTAAAAGACTGCCATAGTTCCTGTATTAACTTAGGTTTTGCGCATGTTTATGGGTGGAGGTAGTTACCATCAGGTAAGCCGCATGCTCAAAATAGTTGAAATACATTTCGACAGCACTGTCGACTTCAACACCCTCGAAAACCATGAAAATGACACCCATGATGAAAAAATTGATCCCTATTGCAGCTGCCATCTTGGATTTACATTTCGACAGCACTATCGGCTACAACACCCTCGAAAACCATGAAAATGACACCCATGATGTAAAAATTGGTACCTACTTCAGTCGCATCTTGGATTTACATTTCGATAGCACTATCGGCTTCAACACCCTCGAAACCCATGAAAATGACACCCATGATGAAAAAATTGATATCTATTGCGGCCGCCACCTTGGATTTACATTTCGACAGCACTATCGGCTTCAACACCCGCGAAAACCATGAGAATGACACCCATGATAAAAAAATTGATACCTATTGCAGACGCCATCTTGGATTTACATTTCGACTACCCTATCGGCTTCATCTCTCTCGAAAACCATGAAAGTGACACCCATGATGAAAAAATTCATACCTATTGCAGCCACCATCTTGGATTTACATTTCGACAGCACTATCGGCTTCAACACCCTCGAAAACAATGAAAATAACACCCATGATGAAAAAATTGATAAAATATTATAACTTAACTAAATAAAATTAAACTGCCATTTACATTCAATAACTTCCCACATGATAGATGAAGAGTTTTAAAAATATATTGAGTTGAAGAATTTATATTTTCAAAAGTTATCGTGTTTACAAGCCTTGCGGACTTAATAAATACACACCATAAGCCACCTAAAACCCCTTTTTTATTTAAAAAAATAACAATTAATCGATTTAAAAAAATATTAATAAGTTCAACAATCATTTATCTTTCTGACAATGTGCTTTATTATATCACTTATATGTACAATATGATTGCTAGATACGATTTCATGCGACAAAACGTTGGAATCTTCATTTTTAGGCCCTAGTAGAACATACCGACGCGCTTAGGCGCTTACGGCATGCAAAAGGGAGCCGGTAGAAATAGGCTAAATATAATTCGTGACACTTGGGGGAGCCCATGTGTTGAGCAGTGGACTTGTAATGGGATGCAATGATGATCATGATGAACAGGTATTTTTTATGCAATTTAAGGGTAAAAACAAGCTGACAATGCACTTGAGGTTAAGCGTAATGCTGTGACCTCTAGCTAGACAGACACCTGCGTCTAACTTGATTAAAAATTACTATACAAATGCGTTGTTGTCACTGAGAACTAAGTATGCCACGTAACCTGTAAAAACGGTTTCCGGTTTACCATATTGGTACCATAGTACCAATATGGTAAACCGGAAATGTCATTTGTTGAATTGACTACTGACTAGACATCGATCACATCGTAGTCAATAAAGCAGTTGTTTATGTAATTACACAACTTAAAAAATATAACCTTTTATTTGTGTATAGCTACTAAATCTAACATTTATAATCCTTCAAAATGTGTGTTAGGTTAGTTGCGAAGCGAGAACATTAGGCTTTCCATAAAGCATCGCACGTAACCCGAATTAGTGTGGATTTTTTTTGGAACATGCAAAATTCCACACAATATTTTCCTTCACCACCGAGCATGTGGTACATCAGCACTTAAATTGAAATTGCTACTTGCAATATGTAGAGACAAAATAGAAATATACCGGTGCGTCCGGCTTCTTGGAAGATTTTTACAAGAATAATATAGATATACGCCCAATGATTTGATTAAATTGGTTCAGTCGTTTCCGAGAAATCGGTGAGCATACATAAGGTAAAACATACGCGTCGAATATATAACCTCTTTTTTGTTAAAGCCTGCTTATAAATGTAGCTATACGTGGTACAACCATGTTTCAGCTATAGTAGTAGTATAGTTGTAGCACGAATGGGTCGGCTCGACCGGGGAAGGACCATGCTCTCACAGAATACCAGCGTAAAATGGCAGCTTGACACTCCTGTGTTTCGTATGGTGAGTGTAGAGAACCGGAGACCTTTTTTATTGGAAAAGAGGCATTCCATCTTAGTCCTCACGGGTGACGACGCATCTGCGTTTTGATTCTTTATTGAGGATAAATGTAGATGTCTATGGGTCACAGCAACCATCAGGTTGACTGTGTGCCTTTTTGTCACCCTATCCTATAAAAAAATATTACAATTTCATTAGTGTCGGCGAGGATCGAAATCGAGTTTCTTGCTTATATGAAATTTAATACGAACGCTTAGTTCCTGAACTATTACGATTTTATCTAATAGATCATAACCTATGATATTGCCGTTCTGCAATACTGGCCATTTCAAATCAAAATAATTATTGTTTGGCTAAGAATTCTAATTTCAAATTAATTTTATTTTAAAAGCATGGAATTATTTTTTTCATAATTAGTCATTTACACGGATTATATTACTTTACACACATTATATTACACACATTTATATTATACACGGATTTACACGGATTCAGTAACAGGCGCCAGTGCCGGCGCCGAGGACTGACTCGCACTGTTTACACGCAGTCTGTAGTCGTGAGTTACTTTACGGTATGGTACGCACGTTATTGAAGTCAGCGGGGAAAAATGAATTCACGGAAACGGCAGAATTTACAACAATCAAAATATTTATTGAGAAATTGTTCCTATCTGCTGTTGAAAGAGTTGATGGAAATGTTAGAAGAAGAGATATTTAAAAAGAAACGACTTTTGATAAGAAAATGAATAAACAACAGAAAAGAAACTGAAGGTTTTGCTTTGTTGTTGATGTGACGTCACCCTACATGCCCTACAATGCAGCGCCAGCGACTGACCAAGCACCGACTCGTTTAGACAAGGCCACTGGCGCGGGTGGCAGGGGGAATGGGATTGACTTCAAAATATTCAAGCAGGAATATTGAAGTCAGCACTGGCGCGATAGTGCTCCAAATCAATTTACATTATGGCAATAGCGGATTAGCACTGACTTGCCTCGAATTTGGAGCCAGTTACTGTCCCTGTGTAAATCAACCATTATGTTTTCATCGCATTTGAATCTTTTTCGTCATCATGAATACGTTAAAAATTCAAGTAATTATGGAATATGAGTACCGTCGTGGCAGCAACGTAACGTTTACGGGGCGAATACTACAAACGAACGCACCACCTGTTATTGGTTTGCCTGCTTCCGTTCTAGAAATTTCGACCTGAAAAATGAACCCCGTGGTCGTCCGAAACTGGTCGACAATGACGAATTAAAGGCAATTGCGGAAGCTGATGATACTCAATCGACGGCTGAATTAGTATCAGCTTTCGACGTTAGCATCAAAATAATATTGGTGCATTTGCGTCAAATTGCCAAGGTAAAAACCAAATGGATGCCCATGAACTCAATGATCGTCAGCGCGTCAAGACGTGCCTTGCACTGTTCAACAGGCACACAAAACACAAACGAAGGAATTTTAAACCGCATAGTTACCTACGAGAAAAATGGATTCTGTTTGACAATCGCAAGCGCTCAGCAAGTTGGTTGGATCCTGGTTCAGCACCTAAACAATGCCCTAAACGAAAACTTACCCCTAGAAAAGTGATGGTCACTGTTTGGTGATATAGCGCCGGTGTGATTCATCACAGCTTCTTACCGAACGGGATGAACATTACTACAGATGTATATTGTGAAGAACTGAACACTGTTGGAGTAGCTCGCACGTCTCCAACCAGCTTTGGTCAATCGCTCGTCTCCGCTGCTCCTGCACGACAACGCGTGACTTCATACTGCACAACATATGGTCTCCAAGTTACAACAGCTGGGGTTGGAAGCTCTCCGTCATCCGCCGTACTCACCAGACCTTGCGCCTATAGACTCCTGCTTTTCCAGAATTTGGATAACTTTTGGTCTGGAAAAAAATTCAATACTCGAGAGGCAATACAAAATGACTGAAAAATTTGTTGTCTCCCGTCTAGAAGATTTCTTCAAGAAAGACATCACTAAACTGCCACTGCATTGGCAAAGATACATCGATTGCACGGGTGATTACTTTAATAGAAACCAAAAATAAAGAAAAAAAATACGTTAACTTGTTTCATAAAAACGGCAATTTCATAGGCGAAGATCTAATAATATAAGCCCTAAAGTAATATCGTTGTAAATCAACTGCCAATAAATTATGCGCATTCGTCACTGGTAAGACATGCAGGAAGTCGATGGATGCAGGTGGCTCAGGACCGTGCTTTGTGGCATTCTTTGGGGGAGGCCTATGTTCAGCAGTGGACTTGTGAAGGGCTGTAATGATGATGATGATGATGATGATTCGTCACTCCGGTTTCGATTCATTGCTAGACCTAATAAAATGTTTTTTAAATATACATTTTTTATATAATATATTTTTGTTACAGATAATATTATTGTTGTCAGCGTATCGGATGTGAAGTTCTACAATGTTCACACTTTTGAGGTTACAAAAATTTTACGAAAATCATGTAAGTACCTTGTGCTTCTCATTTAAAGCGAAAATGTGAAAAAGTGCGTTTGCATTTGTAAAAAAGACCGTAGGGTTTACTCATAATCAATCTCGTACTTATTATTGCTTATACATTTTAGTATGAGTGACCTTTTGGCTAATGTTCCCCACAGTTATTAAAAATAATAAAAATCTTAGTTTGTTTTTCATATTCTCACTCTGTGATCCGATTCTGAGCTACGTTCAAAAATTCTAGATTCTTGCTAGATACTTAGCTTATCGGGAAGTTAGTTTAAAATCAGTTACTAACTTCGAACTGAACAGATATAGGTACACGAAAGGAGTTAATAAAAACGTGGTAAAAGTTTAAGTTTAAAAATATCTTAGGGTAAAAAGTGACTGCTGCAGCTTGATACTTGCTACCAAATTCAAGGAAAGAACGCCACAAATGCGTTGTCACCTACTCGTATCACTATGAAACACTAAGATGAAATGTCTTACCAGAATGTGGGTTTTGTAGTTTTTTCTGCCGACTTCCAAAAAGGAGCCGGTACTCAATTCGACTGTATGTTTTTTTTTTTTCGTTTTTTTTTTTCGTTTTTTTTTTTATGTGTGTTACCTCAGAACTTTTTTCTGGGTGAACCGATTTCGATGATTCTTTTTTTATTTGAAAGCTGGTACTTCTCGTGTGGTCCCATATGAATTTGATCAAGGTCAGACCAATAGTTTTTAAGTTATTCTTAAATAACTTATATTGAAGTCGGCTGTACAAAATTTTTAATTTTAAATTATATTTCCATGACTCCGACACACCTTTACGTGAGTTTGATAAAACTACGAGTATGTCATGTTTTTTATTAATAAAACAAAAAAATTACAGGTACTGATTATCAAGAAAGTGATCACATTACCGTAGAGCATAATGAAAAATATCTATTTGTTCGCTTAAAGCATAATTCGACAGCTGTCTCTTTTACAGGACATATTTTTAAGTAAGTATATCTTCATACGTGGTAGAGCCATGCTGCAGCAATATTATGGTTGTAGTACGAATGGATCGGCTTGACTGGGGAAGTACCAAGCTCCCACAGAACACCAGCGTAAAATAGCAGCTTGATGCTGCTGTGTTTCGTGTGGTAAGTGTAGAGAACCGGAGACCCTTTTTGTTGGAAACGAGGCATTCCATCTTAGCGGGGTGTCAACACATCTGCATTTTGATTCTTAATCGAGGATAGATGTAGATGTCCATGGGTCATAGCATCCACTTACCATCAGGTGGATTGTGTCCACGTTTGTCACCCTCATTCTATAAAAAAAATTGAGTACGATTCATAAATATTTTTAACGTTAAGATGTAACGTCGAAGCTTAAAAAATAAACATTTAATATCATTTCAAAATTAATGTAATGTCCTCCAGACCGAATTTCTGTCATGGCGGCCAGTATAAACGGAGACTGGCCAACTGCGTAGGACAGGATTATAGTAAACCAAGAGTATGCGCAAGTACAGATCTGGTGCACTCTCTATTCCTTCACTCTCATAGTGCGATGTGGCTGTAATTCGACACGACCGGAGAGAGATAAGGCGCAGGGCCTTGAACAACAACGCCTTGTGACCTCTTGATCAGTAATCGAGTTTGCGACCATTAGACCAGCAAAGCAGTTTTTTGAAATTGAATCATTAATTTTTTTTTTGAAATTAATGATTCATGCATCAAGCCTAGCTGGTCCTTAGAACATATACTACCCAAGATGACCCAAGGAGGGTAATGTATTTCGAGAGTATGTACATTGTGTGTCTATTTCTTTGGCACGCTCTGTAGCCTAAAGAGCGTGATGGAATTAACCTATGAGCTTTCGTTAGATTCGTCTTAATTGTGGAATTGCCATGGACTATATAATATTTGTATATCGCTCTCTGAGAACCGTGCCGTCACTATACGAAATTCAGCAATTTTCTGATTGACCTTACGCCATCTAGGTTTTTTTTTACATCTAATACAAAGACAACTGTGATTTTACAAAAAAGGAGAGGAAGGTTTTGTTTAGTAAACTCTAATGCAGTCGGTTTTTTAAAATTATTGTTTGAACCAATAACCTTGTTTTAATTAAAAATGTTTTTGGTAGGCTAATAAACGATTGCTGCTACATAGTAGACGACAAATGTGTGCTCTGGCGAATTATATGCTGCGATAATAAGAATGAAATCAAATCTATACTACGGATCCACGGTGGCAGCGAGTCAATAATTACCGATATTAATATTTACGAAAATGATGTATTCGTTTTATTAAGAAATGGAATTATATACCGTGGCACCGGCTCATGCTGGGATTTCGAGGTAGTCTGCGATTTGAACACATCGGATTTTTACAAGAGCTCCGTGTTTTCTATGTATCAAATGTTCAATGTTGTTTATAGCGGTGAGTTTTTTTTTATACGTGTATGTATCATTATTTCTTTTATAAGTGCGACAACCGCGTGGTCACTAACTTGTCTACTTAGTTTTTCTTGCTACCGTTATGAATCTTAAAAAGCTTGGCATGCTCAATAAAGCGGGACAGTATTTCATGCCGGCACACCGCCTGCAACTTTACAAGGCGCAGGTTCGGCCTCACATGGAATACTGTTCCCATCTCCGGGCTGGAGCTCCCCAGTGCCAGATCCTTCCACTTGATCGCATCCAGTGCAGAGCGGCTTGAATCGTCGACGACCGAGTCCTTTCCGATCGGCTCGATTCACTGGCGCTGCGAAGAGATGTTGCATCTCTCATCTCATCTGCGAAGGGATTGCTCTGAGGAATTGTTCGGACTAATTCCAGCCGCTCAATTTCACCATCGCACATCGCGACAAAACTTGCGATACCATCCATACCATCTGGACGATTGGCGGTCAACTACTGTGCGATTTAGAAGATGTTTTCTTGCTCGCACAACTTCCTTGTGAAATCGATTACCACCATTTTTCCGGACCGATACGACTTAGGGATCTTCAAGAAAAGAGCCTACTCCTTTTTTAAATGCTGGCAACGCATCGGGCGGCAGTAGTCACTTACCATCAGGTGAGCCGCATGCTCGTTTACCCCTCCTATAAAAAAAAAATCTTATGCGATATACCTGTGCTAATCTGCTAATGTTTTAGTAGTAGAGAGTCATCACATATGACTTATTTTGTTGTTGTTTTTGTATTGTATATTCACCTGATATGTGGTCCGAAAGATTATGATGATATTGGTGGTGGTGATGATGAACGATTTCGACCATGTATATTCTATTAAGAATCAAAATGCAGATGCGTTGTCATCCTTAAGGACTAAGATGAAATGCCTCATTACGTACTAGACACGAGTTCGATATATATAAACGTAACTAAAAACGGTTTACAAATCGTATCGATATAATGCACAAACAAAACGGTTTTTACAATAACGCTCAATCGAAGCGAATTCAAACGCAACACAGCTAACGTAACTTCTCATAGCGTAAAATCACATCAATTCTCTCTGCCGTCTCTCTGTCCAACCGATGACTCTGCCAGTTATAATGCTGCCCGTTGTGAAAACGAGACGAGCCGAATAACTGCCGGACTCGGCCGCGTCCATCGTTAACTATTTAGTTGTTTGGAACTTATATGGAAAAACCAAAACGTTAAGCTATTATTGCACGCCTCATAACGCGAAGCGTTATTAGATAGGACATTACTCTCGACACGTCAAGGTTAAGCAATGTTGTGTTCTTAAAATGCCTCTGTCATAATCTTAGCACTTATACGATAATATGAGGGGCCGTATACCAAGAAACGGCTCTAATTAATTCATCTTATATTTTCCAAAAAAATCATTTTATATTGCTACTTTGAAACAAAACGGGTAAAAAAAATTTACGTGGACGTCCAGATGTTGATTTTGTATGCGGACACGATAACTCGAAAAAATTTACGTATAGAGACCGGGTTTTTTTTTTATTAACTATATTTTTTTAGCCCTCGATAGACAAGGAAAATGTACCATACAGCATATATCGATTTTATACTTTTTGTAATCGATTTATTTTGGTAAACATTATTACTTATTTCCCTATAGGTGACACTACATATTAAAGTAATAAAGCGCTAAATTTAAACACGTAAATAATATATTTTAAAAGTCAGGAATACAATTTTTTTTCATCACAATTAAATGAACCGCTCATGAGGCGTGCACTATTGGATTTTCCAAACTATAATTAAATTTACTCCGCGTGTTGATTTCTTACTAATTAGTCTTTTTTTTTTGCATTCGAATTTTACTCGGTCGCTGGCAACTGTAACTGTAGAATCGGTAAGCAAATTGTACTTCATATCGATATCTAAAAACGGCTTTTCAGTTTTTATATATAATATAAAAACTGATAATGCCCATGTCTACTTATTAACCGTAATACAGGCCTCCGGTTCTCTACACGCACCATACGATGTACAGTAGCCAAATTACATAAGCTTAATGACGAAGGGGGAGCTTTGTAATGAAACCTGCGTGTCTGAGAAATAAAAATACAAAATTTGAGGACATGTGAAAGTGCTAACGCTTACAGAAACACTAAAGCGCTGAGTCTCATGCTTTGAAAGTCTCTCAGACGTGGGAGAAACTTCACTATTCTCATTTTTATTTATAAAGCTATTTACAATTAACAATATTAGAATTGAAAAGTTGTCGTACACATGCTCATGTTGTTGAATAAAACTCGTCATGTTTCCAGTGCCTATGCAAAATGGTTCAACCTCGGAATCAGATGACTTTTCAAAAACCGATGAAATATTGATGGCGTGTCCGGGTCTGTCTTGTGCAACCCCGCATGGAGAAATTTTATTTCTTGGTTATGAAGACGGAAAGGTGTGTATAATATTGGTATTTTATGAACAATCAAATCGCAAACCAAACGAAAAAAAAAACTGCGCAGGAGCGATCTCATTCGTGAGGACTGAGATGAAATATCTCATTGTCTATTATTAACTGGCTCTCTTATCTTCAAATCAGAACACATGGGTCGGTGCACTGTTGCCTAGCAGTGAAAAAAGTTAAGACCCTATTCCAACTCCTAAGTAGAAATACGGTAGTACTTGTAAAGGTATTAAAAAGCTAAAGATACTACAATTTTAGCTGTCGTAATCTAATATATACTCTGGGTCGTAATAGTTGAAAAAAGAAACAAATTACACTGCAATGGAAAATACAATGCCATCAAAAACATAACTTGTAAAAAAAAAATAAGTCTCGCAACTCAGTTCTTCTACCGTAAAAAGTTGTGAGATCCATATAATACCAAGTCGGTTAATTTATGCAGCCCCTACTTAAGGGTCCTTCTGTCTTAAGTTATTACGTAATTAGCTAACCTAACAACATCTTATAGTGACCATATCAATATTAAAAACCTTTTATGTTTTAAATAGATTGACTTGGCCATCGCATGAAAACACAATGTATCTCTCAAGTAATACATATTACATTAAATTAGATAGTTTAGTGCGATTGCCAAGTCAATTTGTTTAAAACATAAAAGGTTTTTAATATTGATATGGTCACTATAATATGTTGTTAGGTTAGCTAATTACGTAATAACTTAAGACGGAAGGACCCTTAAGTAGGGACTGAATAAATTAACCGACTTGGTATTACATGGATCTCACAACTTTTTACGGTAGAAGAACTGAGTTGCGAAACTTGTTTTTTTTACAAGTTATGTTTTTGAGGGCATCTCATTTCTTTTTGTAGATAGTTATATCTAAGTACCTATCTACACCTACTATTCCATTATAATATACATATATAGGTACACAGATTCATTCACTGCAAATGTAACTTTGTAATCCTATATATTTATATGGGATTACAAAGTTATTTATGCAATTGATGTATCTCAAAAACGGGACCGAAACTGCAAAATATTTTGGTTAATCCTTGATTTATATACTAAACAATAATTGTGTTCCAAATTTCAAGCTTCTATGTCTGCTAGAAGTGCCTTAGAGTTTTGATGATCGGTCAGTCAGTGAGTGACAAAATTAAGAAAGTTTGACTAGTTATAACTCTTAAACTACTGGTTCAAATATACCGAGTTTATACAATGCCTACTTGGTTACAGAAAATTCAGGCTTCTAGTTTTATTCACAATGAAGTTATAGGGTTTTGAAAATGGCCTGAACTGCTTCGAGAAAAGGATGGTACGGCCGTGCCGCTTTTTTGCTAGACTTGGCGGGGGCACTGCCGTGCCCCCAGATGCCAATATACATAATTATGTATTCATACTTACATTATGTCATAAATTTGTTGTATAATGCGATGTATCATGAACGCTTTATACACTACGACTGTTAAATGTGCTCCGCACTACAACTTCTCGAATTATAAAAACAGAAAATTGGTCTTATCATATTTAGATTTACCACGTGCTCGGCGGTTAAGAAAAACATCGTGAGGATACCTGCATGTCTGAGAAATTAAAAAAAAAATAAAACTATTTCGAAGTCGTGTGAAGACCGCCAACACGCATTGGGGTAGCGCGGCGGACACTACTTTGCCTTAAACCCCTTCCAAAAATGAGGGGATGTCTGTGCCCAGCAGTGGGACGTATATAGGCTATAACTTTACCATATTTAGAATCTGCATGAGTTAACAGTAGTATATTACCCTATTTTATTTGTGCGAGCAGCTACGCAGGTCTAATAAAACCAGTACCACTGGGACCAGTAAGATCTATTGTGTGTATCTGCTGGCCCTATATCTTCAATTCATTGACGGAGTTGTTTAGCTGTGAGGAATTTCACTTTACTATGGCCTAAGTATGTAGTTTCCCAGATGAGTGTTACGTTTGCGCATTAAGGGTCCACAGTCAGTTAGGATGTGCAGAGGCATTTCTTCCTTGAGTTGCTTAGTCCCAAGATGGGCAGTTCCAGTCAGGGATCTTGCCAAAATACGCAGTTTTTTCTGACTTTATCCCAGGGATTCTAAAAGGTTAATACGAGTCATAAACCCAGATTAGGGCTTTGGAATGTTTTAAGCCTGGTGTATCAGACCAGATCTTAAGTGAAATATATATATATATATAGATTACCCATTGTAAAATTCGTTTAGTGTACTATTTATTCACAACATAAGTTGTGCATTCACAAGCCGTAAAACACTATTCACACTCAATCGAAGTCAACGATTTTCTTAAAATTAGTTGAAAAAGTATTTTTATAATTGCATTTTAATGGTTTTTTTTGTTATAGATAGTGATACGAGTCCGAAAGAAGAGTCGTGAAATTTCACACATGAAGTTTAATATACGGGATATCGGCGACAACCCAATAATCGAACACGCTGCCATTGAGGCAATAGATGTGTGCGAAGTCAATGACGCACATTATTTATTTGTTTTAACTAAGTTTAAAATATTCAAAGTGATTTTGACGCATGCCAACAATCATTCTGAAATCGGAGTAAATGAAACATAACTTGAAACGGTTTTAAATAAAAGGCGTTAAAGTATGAAGTGGCCGTTTTAATAGAGCGGCAACTTTGTTTTACTTTGTTTTACTGAGTATACTCAAGAGTGACATCTTTTAATAATAGTATATTTACATCAGTATACCATACTCTATTCTCGGGAACTGGTATTCAATTTCTTAATGAAGGACATGGAATCTATTGTGAACAGTATGCCATGGTTACTGTCTATTAGCATTTGATTTAACTCCTGATTTATCAGCTAACTCATCAGCTCATTGGAATCTTAAAAAGCAGAGTAGTGTAAGATACGTAATCTACGATTTGAATCCTCACTAATACAAACAATTAACTGTATAGTTTACGCTGAGTTTGATAATATTATTGAAATAGATAAAAACAGAAATTGATAGAATCAGGCGTTAATTTGCGGAAATCCATTATAATGGGGTTGTTATAAACTAATTTGCTTCATACCGCGTAAAGAAAGAAAATGATGTGTCCTGCCCAGTTTTAACGAAACCTTCCACCCTCCCTCAATCGCGCGCACTATACCCGTCGCCGTCAATCCCAGCACTACCACCCCCAGCACCAGCACACTAGGCACGACACACCTTAACAAAACTACCGCTTGCTCAACCTACGGGCGTGGCTTCCCAATCTACTCGCTAACAAACAAAGCAAGCAACAAAGGAAAATAATTTTATTATTACAAAAAAAAAACAATCCAACCAACGCTCCCTGCTACCAAAAATGTTACGGCCCTCAGTTGCCCCGACAAAAGTCGACTGGACCAGGGCACATGAGTGATCCCCTCGTCGAGCAACAGAGGGTTCGTGCCCAAATGGCCATATGGAAGAATTGCCTATAATACTAAGCTTAGTAACATAACATATAACTATATGGGAGAAGGCTAGGGAAATATAGTACTTACCTGTTTCCGACTCTTAGATCGTCCCAAGGCTCGGTCAGGCCGTAAGTGGGTGTGAGGTGCATGGCAAGTAGTGTTTAGTGATGTGTAAATGTCTGAGACCTGGACCAGCTTAGGCGACCTGCAGGGCTATTCACAATCGTCTCGGAAAGCGAAATCGACTCGGATTCGATAACTTCTCGCACCGAAACCAATAAACGCTATTAACATTTAACTTTCGGATAAAGGTCACTTAGATACATCCTATAACTATTGTATCGTCATTTAGTTACATGCATTTACGAATTTTGTAGATAAATAGGCTTTTGTATTTTTTTAGAGTAACGCCTGAACAAAAACATAATGCAATATTTTGGAGTTAGCCATTGATATCGAATATAAAAAATATATAATTTAACTATATAATAAATAACAAAAAATTTCGAATATTGATGATTAGAAGAGATAAATAAACCCTTTTAATTATAAGGTAGGTAACAAAAATTAATTACAATTATCTATAAGACGTATTTTCATATAATTACTTCAATATTTGCACTTAATCGTAAAGCTGAATTTTAGTGAAAGGTGTGTTTTTATAAGTTTTCTATCACAAAGAAGCATATATATATATATATATATATATATATATATATATATATATATATATATATATATATATGCTGCTTTGTGAAACGAGACATATCTCAGTTTTTTGTTATTTATTATATAGTTAAATTATATATTTTTTATATTCGATATCAATGGCTAACACCAAAATATTGGATTATGTTTTTGTTTAGGCGTTACTCTAAAAAAACTACAAAAGCCTATTTATTTACAAAATTCGTAAATGCATGTAACTAAATGACGATACAATAGTTATGGGATGTATCTAAGTGACCTTTATCCGAACGTTAAATGTGAATAGCGTTTATTGGTTTCGGTGCGAGAAGTTATCGAATCCGAGTCGAATTCGCTTTCCGAGACGACTGTGAATAGCCCGGCAGCAGCGGCCGAGTTCCAGGCTGCCCCACAATGCTGCATCGCTCCAGCAGGCTCCACCGCTGGACCATTTCTTTCTTCATTGTCACCATTTCAGTCTATTAGCTTCATTGTACATTTAACTAACTTAAACTCGCCTAATTCCACATTCATCGTAGAATCGAACACTTGATACCCGACATAGTAAGGACAGTAGTTCAAAATTCGACATTCAATTTCCCGGATTCACTTATCACAAAATTACAAATAGGGAACTAACGCGATCTCTTAATGAGTCACACGGTTCAGCGTTAAACACAACTAAGTTCCTTCATTCGACACCAAAACACCACGTCGCGAAAAGAATTCAAAATACGCCTCGTTGATACGTAAACTAACAAACCAATCAACACACAAAAAAGGGCACTTAACGCGACGGCACAATTTTAATGATTTCCAGACAATCAACCGGGAGATGCTCTCGACCAAGGAATGCGCGGTTCGAATCCTAGACCGTATATCTACTCGACGCGCGCGTGCACAATTCCGCATCATCCGAACAAGTTAAATATTGCAAAATTCACATATCCACGTAGCGAAGTAACACGCACTACATCTAACTATCTGGACCCTACACGGTCGCGTGAACCTCGGCCGCGATAATCGAGACAGACGGATCCACCGCATAGCGGCCAGCGAGCTACTGCCTCTTCGCCTACGCGTCGAGCCACTGCCAGCCGCACACGGCCGCCCCACCTGGCGGCGTTTTTTTCACCTACATACCATCGGGTGACGCGCCAGCTCGAACTCAATTGGATGGCGTTCAAAAATGACCAAATTTGGGCATAAACACTGAATATCATCAATTTTATTCCCGAGTTAAAAATCTTTCCGATGATAAATTTCCAACGGATGAGTTGTCACTTTTACAAAAAGGCCTAAAGTATAATCTAACACCTTCGATCTCTCAAAAGTCGCTAGAGACTGTGGCCGTGGACGCGGAGATGGCCGTTGTGATCGGGAAGAAAGATAACATTGTTAAAAGTTTGGTAGCGAAAGAAATTCAGGCTGTACCCGCTTCTTACCATTGCAATCCAGAGTTCCCTGTTTTTAAGTCACTAAAGCAATGAATAAGGGACAATGTCTTATTACTAAAGCCGATAAGGGCAATACTGTTGTTATTATGGATAATAGCGGGTATAGCCAGAAGGTTAACGATGTTATCCAAGGTGATGACTTTGAGCTTTTGGAGCCTGACCCCACCAAAAAGTTTACTTCGGATATTAAAGTATGTATACAACAGTCATCATATATTTTTCCCGACCACAACGTGTCTCGCAGCAGTCTTGTTCCAATGAATCCTCAAGCACTCATTTTATATGGGTTACCTAAAATACATAAAGAACATGTTTCTATTCGTCCAGTTGTATCATACGTAGGTGCACCAGCTTATTTCCTTGCTAAAAAGTTAAACTTCCTTCTGCGGGAGAAATCTGGATTCAAACCAACTTACAGCCTTAAAAATAGTTTAGATCTCATTTCCAAGATTAAAGATATCCGTATTCCACCTAAATCCATGTTGTTATATTTAGACGTTGATAGTCTTTTCACAAATGTCCCATCCCCAAACTGTTTGCGTATACTCGCAGATCTCTTTAATAAACGTCGTCTACATCCCGGGGAAACAAATGATCTTCTAAACTTAACCTTTCTCTGTATGAAACAAAACTATTTCCGGTTTAATAACCACTTCTATCTACAAAAAGAAGGGCTAGCCATGGGTTCCCCTCTAAGTCCTCTTATGGTGGACATTTTAATGAATAATTTTGAAAAAGAACACATAGTGGTCAATCAAAATATTTTATACTATTATCGATATGTAGACGACATAATTATTTGATGGACTGGCACAAAGAGGTAACTGGATGTTTTCCTTAATAAAATTAATAAAATCCACGACAAAATTAAATTTAAGCTTGAATTGGAACAAGATTGTGTCCTTAATTTCCTGGACTTAACAATAACAAGGAAAGAGTCGTTACATGAATTTCAAATTTATCGAAAACCACCTCATACCGACACGGTCATTCCTGCGTCATCATGTCATCGTGTACGTGGCATTCAAAACAAACAATTCACTTAGGAATATCTGTACTTATAAAGATAAGTTAGACATTCGTCTAAAGTCTGGTGTTTATAAACTTGTTTGTGACGAATGCCAAGCCGTTTACGTGGGTCAGACTGGTCGCAACTTCGAAACACGTTATAAAGAGCATTTAGCCGCGTACAGGAATTGTAACCCCGATAAATAATATTTTGCTAAACATCTCTTAGACACAGGACACAGCCTAGCCAATGACCACTCCTTTAAAGTCTTACATACTTGTAATAAAGGGCTACGACTGTGTGTGCTGGAACAGTTAGAGATATTAAAAAATAATAACGGTAATGTTGCACTGATGAATGAACAAACAAATGTTTCCAACTCGCCTCTCTTAAACATGTTTAAGCCTGCTCCTTGATGCTATTGTTGCGCGCCATTATTAATATCTTGTACATGGCAACACTAGTTACACTAGCGCCCTCTAGTGTCGAGTAAATGAAAGTATTGCGCGCCACTATTAATGTCTTGTACATGGCAACACTAGTTACACTAGCGCCCTCTAGTGTCGAGTAGCAGAACTAGGAGAGTCGAGATCCTTCCAGAAATTTCGGGACCGATATGTACTCGAACATTCTAGATGTCGCTACAGTAGAAGGTTCTGGAAACTATCTGAGGCCCTATATAAGGCCGGTATAGACCACGACCGGGCAGTATTGAATTGGCGATACAAGAGAATACTTCGAAGCGAAATAACGGCGAACTGTGTTTTATTATTAGTGTGATTTTAGATTGTAATTAGTCTTGTGTAATTAAAGTGTCAATTTTGGTAATTCAATCGGCAGTTTTTAATTGTCTCGAACCTCAAGCTCGTAACAATTGGTGTCAGAAGTGGGATCAAATATGCCGATTTTACCTAAAGACGACACGGAGGGTATCCGTACCCGAAGTCAACGCCAACAGGAGACGGACCAGTGACGATTTGGTAATGCAACGCCGCAAACGTCGGAGGGCCAGTTGCTAACCACGGAGGCTGGCCCGTCAGCAGCTCCTGCATCTGCAGCACCTGACTTAGGTGCTCTGATGATGATGCTGCAGGATCAGGCTCGCCGACAGGAGGAACAGGCCCGCCGACAGGAGGAACAGGCCCGCCGACAGGAGGAACAGGCCTGCCGACAGGAGGAACAGGCCCGCCGACAGGAGGAACAGACCCGTCGGCTGGAAGAGCAGCTGCAGCGCGGTATGGAAGAACAGATGTTCCTCAGGATGGACCTTCACGCTACCTTCGGGAAAGAGATAAAGGAGGTGAAGGATAGGGTTGCTCAACATGACAACCGCCTGTCGGAAGCTGAAACCCGAATCGACCAAGTCAACAATCGGGTTGACAACGTGATGGCTGATGTGAAGAAAACGCTTGACGATCTCAAACTTGGGGATGGAGTTACAGCTCCCGTGGTAGCTACAACACCTTCGCTACGTGGATTCAAAGTGCCGCCATTCGACGGGAGTTCTTCCTGGTCGGCCTACAAAATCCAGTTCGAGGCTGTTATGAAAGCGAACGGCTGGAATAAAAGTCAGGCCATGACTGCTCTCACCCTAGGCCTACGCGACCAGGCCTTAACTGTTTTGGAAGCGCTCGGTAAGGAAGTGACTTACGAGCAGCTCCTTGAGGCATTGGAGGCGAGATATGGCGATGCTCACCTGGAACACGTCTTTCG